GCTTAATTAATTAAACACATGGACAACTTCGTGTACTTTTAACTTACCAATGTGAGAAGCACTTCCTTCTGGGATGTAAAGCCGTACAGTCCTGTACAAGTTTATCGACGTTTCGGAAGAATACATTTGTCCCAATTTGAGTGGCAGCAAGACAGAGGCACTATGCAGTGAGTCCGCCTGCTTGGCACCCCTCCGATTGCCCGAAGGGAAGAAGGCAACAGCTCCCTCAGAAAAATCTGGGCTCACTCTGCTTGTTTCCTACCTCTTCTTCAGAATTGCTTATTTTTCTTAAAATTATGCTCTGAAGATAGTGCATATATGTCCCCCTGAAACGTCGGAGCTCACTCTTCTTGCTGCTTACGTCTTACCGGTTGTTTGGCTTACTTTTCTACCCTGAAAGCTGAGGCAATGCATTCCGAGATATCAGTAAATATCTACTCGCCTGTAAGTCACATCGCCCCCTCTTTGTAGTCACCGCTGACAGAAGTTCGTATCCAGTTTGACCAATAAAATTTACCGTTTCTTAACGCGTAAGGTGAGCACTAAGTGGCTCTCATTAACCAAAGCGTCATATTGACTGTATCTCATGAATCTGAAAGGAATTTTACTTCTGACTGGAAACGGAAGGGGTGAGTTCATAGCCCGAACCCTTTGACCGTGCCCACGACTGATACAGCGGCAGAAACGGCCTCCTAGCTGTTGTATTGAAGCTGCCTCATTGACAGGATTGTTTGCTACCAACCCGCCCCGGCCTTTTCCAAGCGATTACCTCGAATAATTGCTACTCATTGTTGCACGGGGGAGTATAGTGAGTTGGGGAGTTCCTCACCCTTCCAACAATAGCCTTGCCTCATGCAGCTGCCCTTGGTTCTGCTCTCTCCACCCCCGCTGTGGCCACCCTTTGTGCGACCCGCTCAAATATGTACTGTATGGTCTAGGGGTCTGCGGCTCCTCAACAAGGGGATTCGGCTGGTGAACCCAAAAATTCCAGTCCCAAAGGAAGATGCTTAACAAAAAATTCTGTCCCTTATTCCCTTTAGTGATCATGGGACGTGACTCATATCGTATTAACGTCTCGTTTCCAAACCGTTATTAAGATTCTGTTGCCTCTGTCTGAAGTAGGCAGAGGCCATTGTTGTACCATCTTGACTTGTGCGCGCACACACACAAAAAATTGAAGATCGCAGTTTGTTTTCCCCACCTGCAGAGAGAAACATGAGCTCTGTGGGCTGTCACGTGTGCAGTGCAGACCCATTCCAATTTTTAAGACCTTATACTAATTTGTATCTGCAGCTTTTTCCAAATTCTATATAAAAGGTGTCCCATCTCTACCCTAAAATCACTGGGCCCTCTCTATTAAATTCATGTGTATATATAAATAATTTCTGTTAATATTTTCATTTTTAAAATCAATATATTTCATATTTTTATGAATTAATAATGGACACGCGGTAGCGTAGTTGGTTGAGGCAGTTTGCTACAAGACACAATGTCGTGGGTTCGATTCCCGATGAGGTCATTCGATTTTTCAATTTACCTAATTCTTTCAGCCGCTCTATGGTCCTGAGGTCGACTCAGCCTCTAACAGAAATAAATATCAGAAATCTTCCTGCGGGGCAAAGAGAGGCCGGCTGGCTCACCGCAATCTGTGAGCCGATTGTCTAGAAAATGTGGGAACCTCGACGTCTCAGAACTGTATGGGTCTTCACGGCCTGTTACAGGGATGGCTTTACTTTATCAGATGATGCTATTTATTAAGATTTCTGTCTTCTTGGAAATAACGCCGTGCAGGCTGTTGAACGTCAACGGACGTTTAGTAAGAACATGTAGTCTCCATCTTCAGGAAATAAGAATACGCCAAATGGCAAACCAACATAAAGCAGACAGTAATCTCTTCCTACACTGAAGAAGGGGGCGACATATTCCTAAGAATTTTCGGCTGAATTTCAACGAACCACACAGCGTTATATCCCAGACGACAGAATTCTTCATAAGAACATGAAACCCTAAAATATTTATCAGTATTTTACAAATATATTACTGAGGGTGTTGAGAACAGGGCACTGAGGAGAATATTTAGACCGAAGAGAGATGAAGTGACAGGAGGTTGGAGAAAACTGCATAAGGAGGAGCTTCATAACTTGTACTCTTCTCCAAGTATAATTAGAATTATCAATTCAATGAGGATGAGGTGGGCAGGGTATGTAGTACGCAGATGAGAAGACGAACTCTAACAGGATCTTTGGTGAGAAAACCAGAAGGAAAGAGATAACTAGGAAGAAGTAGGCGTAGGTGGGAGGATAATATTAAGATGGATGTTAGATAAATTAGCTGGATGGATCTGGGTCAGGACAGGGATCAGTGACGAGCTTTTGTGAAAGCGGGAACGTACCTTCGGTTACATAAATTCCTAAAAATTCATTGAGTAGCTGCACAAATTTTTCGGCTTCTCAAGAAGTCTCATCTCCATGGGGTGAGTTAGTTTATTTATTTACAAATGCACGGAATTGAACACTCGATCTCTGACATTTTGGAACTTAACAATTGGTTCAGATTTACTGTGTAACTTCCCCAGAATACCCAGCGCCCCCGCAAACAAAGTAGCGCTACAGCCACATTTCTGTGGTGAAGTTACATCTGTGCTAACTGGGCTTCGCTTCTGTGGAAAGTACACAGAACGAGACTCCTAGGAAGAGCTAGACACTGATTACGTTTTTCGTTTGGTAAGATTCTAGACAGGTACACGGGACGTAGTCGACTCGAGTTTCAGCTGGCATATCGGCTATCCCAACTGGATTTCTTTCTTATTTTTCTCAGTCTTTCCATCCTCAGTCGATATAGCGACTAGGATACCGGGTGGACTATTGAGGAATCGGGGTTCGATTTCTAGCGAGAGTACAAAGATATTCTCTTGTTCAGTGCTCCGAACCCCATCTGGGGCCCATCCAGTCCCCTAGCTAATGTGCACCGAGCTTATTTCCCCTGTAGGAGTAAGCCGGCAAGGTTGTAAAACTGGCCATCCACCTCCATTTATCGCCGAAGTTAAGAATGCGTGGAGTTATACCTCCACTTCCTATCCGTCCATATGGCGGTGTGCTTAATTAAGAACAGGGAAAATTATAATTCTTACTTTGTTTAACGACTTCGTCAGAAAATGAAGCCACATGGCGTCGAACGGTAGAAGGAAGAGTGGATAATGAATAGGCAGACATAGGGAAGGAAACGATCGTTATCTAATCTGGAAAACTACGCGAAACCTCAAAATAACGGGTCTTGAGTTCGGGATTCGAAGGCGTGGCCTCCAGAACAGGGAACAGTGCTACCAGTCACTATATTGCAATTTGCTCAGTTTAGTTTTGCTTTTGAAGCAAAATTGGAAGAGAACGTAGTAACTACAGCCGGAAAGTCGCGGGTTCGATTCCCGATGAGGTCATTGGAATTTTCGATTGACCTAAATTTTCCAGCCGCACGATGGCCCTGGGGTCGACTCAGCCTCTAACAGAAATGAGTACCAAGAATCTTCATTGGGTAAAGGTCAACCGGCACGTAAGGCTGACAGGCTCACCGCCATCTATGTGCCGATTGTCCAGAAAAATGTGGGAGCCTTGACGTCTCACAACCCTATGGGCCTCCACAGCCTGTTACAGGGATAGTTTTACTTTTACCTTGAAGAAAATTGTCTGTTCAGTGAGCCTGAAATGTTGACTGTTTTGAGGTGGGTGCTGAAGTCTGCCTGCTCTAGGAACCAAGATTTGTCATGCCTTGCGTAGGAAACCTTACAGAAATCTGTGTGCAGAATGTCTGGATCCCCTACAGACGTACGTATAAATGCCGGAATTACGGATCCCGTCACTACCTGCCCGTGACGCACGCTTGTTCCCGTGGCACAGTATAGGAGAGAAAGTGACGAAGAAACGTAGAAAATTACAAGATATTTACCCTTCACCCATTCATCCTACTACGACAGTAGATTCTTGTAGAGGTAAACTTTCATTCAGGAGGTTTTCAGTTCGAGTTTCTACCGAGACAGCAGTTGTCGTGACTGGGGTTCTTCAAGGTCTTCCTCAGTCTCTTTTAGGCATATACCGGGATAGTACTCTACTAGGCAACGACCACTTTCTTCCATATCCCTCACAATTCTTTATTCATTCCACTCCTTGAAGTTGTCCTTGTGTTTAATTAATTAAGCACTATGCCATGAAGACGTAGGTGGGAATGGAGGTATAGCTCCAGCATTTTTAACCTCGGCACTAGATGAAGGTGAGTGATCAGCTTCACCACCCAGCCGCTTTACCTGCTGGTGTACCAGTCTGATAAGAAGCTGGATGGGTTCCAGAGACGATCAGGAGAAGAAAATAAACTCTTGTGTCTGCCAGAAATGGGAACCTTCCCTATAGCCGTTCCGACCTCATTTATCCGACTACTCGACGTAAGGTAATCTAGCTTTTGCAGCGTCGTGACGTAACCTACAACATATGGAGGCCAGAGAAGTAATTTCATCGATAAGTGACTGAACTCCACTGGTAAACATTCAGATTACATGGCGTTTTAGCCGCATACTAACACATTGAATATATTAAAATTACACAGTAGGTCACGAACGAGCGAGCAGTCTTCTCTTTCAGTGTATCTTGTTTATTCTATGAGTATTAATAATATTTTATTGCGGATACATGAAGCATGACTTACTATATAAAGGAGACGGTTTATGATTGACTGTCTGTGCGTGTTGTTCGTGGGAGATGGCGTTGAAGTTTGGCTTCCACTCATCATAAAGTAATGTGTAGGACAGGAATGCAGCAATGGGATGTTAATGTGGTCTACAGAAACGTATATAACACATGGTGAAACCTCTTCTATTTTCAACTTGCGTTACACTCTGTAAACATAACGATATACATATGTAAAGACATTTCCTTTTGAAATCTCAACAGAAGTTACACCGATAACTATATAGAATATTATGTGGCAGATGGACTAACCGTGTGCTTGTGACACAGGTGCAGCCCTGATGGCGAACTTGCTTTCCCTCCGTTCAGCAGCCCATGTGGCTCAGGCTCCACAGCCAGCATGGCCTACCTCAAATCTACGCCGTACTCGGTCAACGGCATCGGACTCGCCATGCCTACAATGGACTCCTTGCACTCCAGCATGGGATACCCAGCAGGTACTGTTACGCCACGTAATGAGCACATCCTGTATATACTCCATAAAATGTGTTTTCATGTGTGCAGACATGTTGCCTTCCTGTCATTTTCATTTTCTTTAGGTTTTCTAAGAATTATTAGAAATATTTCCCAATATGGCGTTACTTGCGCTCCCATTGTTATGTTAAGCATCCGAATTCCTGTAAATACTCCATAAAATGTATTTTCATGTGTGCAGACATGTTGTCTTCCTGTCATTTTCATTTTCTTAGGTTTTCTAAGAAGTACTAAAAATATTTCCCGATATGGCGTTACTTGCGCTCCCATTCATATGTTAAGTATCCGAATTCCTAGAATTCTTTATTTTTTCAGGTTTGTTGATTATAGATTAAAAATATCCTTGTTTTGTTTCGAACTATCCCCGGTAAATTTAAACATTGAGTGGTGTGAAGGGCGGAGGAGTAGCACGAATGGGCAAGGAGTGAATTGCATACAGTATATTTACAGGATTACCTGATTAGATATAAGAATTTTAGAGGACCTGGACTTGGAATGGAGAATAATATTAAAAAAGTTTTAAATAATAAATGTGGGGTGAGGGTTATTAACTAGATTTTTCTGGCTCAGGGTAGTAACCAGTAGCGAGCTCTTGTGAGCACGGCGATGAACTTTAGTGTTCCATTTAGGAGGAAGCATATCTTGAGTAGCTGTGTGACTATTAACTTCTCAGTTAGCTCAGAATAGGGTCCAGTGGCAAGCTGATGTGAGTATGGTAACCAACATCCAGGCCTCAAAGAATGCGATGGATTTCTTAAGTAGCTGAGCGACTGGCAGCTTCTTCAGAATAGCTCAGCTCCAATGAGTGTGTTGGTTAGCCAGTTATCTGCAGCACTGTGTGTGTGGGTTCGGTTGCTCAAGCGTTGCTTAATAATGTGACATCTCCCCACTCCTCCCCACTGTGACCCCTCCACGCATACATATGTAGGGTTGCGAGAGTAATCCAATCGGGACTCCGATCCTGCTAGGATGTACACACACCCAGCCACTAAACACGATTAAATCAGGGTCAATTACTCACTAATGTGTTCTGCCTGCTCTCCTCGTCAAAACATTCTCTTGTAACTGTGCACAGATTTCAGGAAAAGACTCTCCTTCTTTTAAAGGTTGATATACAGGATGATGTTATTTTGTGCTTTTCAGTTACGTTGGTTATACGTCACATAGACTTCAAGCATTAAACATCAAATATACATTTACTGGTAATTTTTGTATATACAAATTACTGCCTCAATTGAACAACACCTGCAATGAGTACTGGCTTTGGGATGTCATGACTTGTAGACTGGTAGAAGTCTTACGAATGTTTCGGATGAACGTACTGCCTCCATCTTCGAAGTCGAAGACTAAGCAAACAAAAACAAGCAGAGTTCTGCACTAAATTCCTGAAGATTCGGGCAGTAATTTCGTTAGAAATGTCAGTGAATTTCTATGAAACTATATGGTGTCATATTCTAGAAATTAGTACTCATACTCGCAGCTGTGAAAAGTCTCAAATCAATCACACTGCCTCTCAGCTACAAAACCCCACCGGTTAATGCTGTTTGGGGAAACAGTCGCTGTTTATTGTGAGAACCATACGGAACACACAAATACGCTCCAAATAACATATAAGAATTCAGTCCGTACCTCACAGGAAACCCATTACGTCTCCGATACAAAGCCCAACCAGTTAATGCTGTTTAGAGAAACAGTCTCTGTTTATTGTGAGAACCGTACGGAACACATAACTACACTGTGTGGGCAGAATTAAGAGATTTCTAATGGTGAAGCATGTGGTTTATATAGTTACCGCTGTGATTTAAAGGGCTAATAGAAGGCCATTCATAAAAATGTATAGTATTGTTTGTCACGTCGCATCCCTGTGGAGCGTAAGTATACATATTCTTGTCCGTCCGAAACAGCTGCACGGATTGTTAAAAACTAGTCTTCGATACCCCCGACCTGTACATTCCGTAAAGTCGTACACACGTTTCTGCGCTCATCTGGCAGAATGAATATCGAAGCAAAACATATTTCCAAAAAAAAAAAAACAAAAAAAACACTTGTTTTTGGTTCAATATACATTTCTCACCATGGAGCACGGTTGGTTGAGGCACTATGATACAATCCGCAAGGTCCCGGGTTCGATTCCTTATAAGTTAACTGTATTTTTCAGTTGACCTAAATTTTTCAGCCCCGTTATGACCCTCGTATCGACTCAGCCTCTAACAGAAATGAGAACCAGGAATCTTCCTGGGAGTAAAGTGCGGCCGGCACTTAAGGTTGACATCCTCACCGCCATCTCTGAGCCGATTGTCTAGGAAATATATGGTAGCCACGACGTCTCACAATCCTATGGGCCTCCACAACCTGTTAAAGGGTTAGCTTTTCATTTTACCTTTTTTTTTTTTCGAGTGTTGTAGTGTACGAGAAATTTCAGCGAAAACGAACGAAACTCCAGAATTGTTATGCTATGCATATATTTCCTAACTCGTTCACACTTCATGTTCAATTAACAACTTTGACACTTCTTGTGGTAGGGTAAACACTTGACAATACTTTGCGTGTACCACACATTTACAGACTGACTACTAATTGTTACTGGTCCTCGCCAGCACAGTGATTTTTGGTTCCGAGTCCCACGGGACCCACGATTATAGAACTCTAACTTCTCTTGACTGATAGACTGAATGTGTGGGTGTAGGCAGGTAGGGAGGTTAATTGCTGCTGGCCTTCGCCAGCAGAATGATCCTTGGTCTCGAGTCCCGTTGGAATCCATGGCCAAGATATTTGTTCTCATCTGAACTTGTCCGTGTAGGTGTTTAGAATTTAGGTCTTCTCTTCGNGGGGGGGGGGGGGGGGGGGTTATTGTGACCGGCACTCCCCTCTACTGGGGAGTGAGTACTTTCAAAAGGTCTACATAGGTGGCTCTATAACGGACGAAATAAAAAAAAACAATGAAGAGGTTAGTACGTATAACAGTAATACTCCAGGGTACAGTCGGTTCTCGTCTACGTTGTCGACTGCCGTCCGTTTTCCTCAGTCCGTCGGGCAATGTGAAGAGTGCACCTTCAGACAGAGCGACTTTTTCCAAATCTTCATTTCACTCTCTTCTGTGTAATGTTTATAGTTAGATGGTAAAGGTAAAGCTGTCCTTGTAACAGGCAGTGGAAGCCCATTGGTTTGTGAGACGTCGAAGCTTCCGCATTTTCTAGACAATCGGCTCACAGATAGTGGTGAGGTTGCTAATCCTACGAGCCGGCCGCCCTTTACTCGCCAGGAAGATCCCCGATACTCATTTCTGTTAGAGGCTGAGTCGACATCGGAACCATAGTGCGACTGGAAGGATTAGGTCTAATTGAAAAATCTAATAATCTGATAAGGAACCGAACCTTCGACCTTCCGGCTTGTAGCATAGCAACCTTAAACAAAGGAATGAGCAGCGTTGATGTAAATGAGGTGCTTTCGGGGTAGCTCATATTTGTCATCGGCAGGAGATTTTTTCAGACCTCCATTTTTCTTTTCGAGCAATAGGAGTAGGTCTGTCGGTCTGTCTGTGTATGCATTCTCTCTAATAAAGTCTGAAAGCCTCTACAGGATTCCAATAAATTTGGTATGTACATCATGCCACCTGAAGTCAGTTCGACGGCAGACTTCAGCAGTGAGAGCATTGCAGTTACCTAAATGCCTGAACGGATGATCTTGAAACTCGGTATGTATACCATTCAGCATGAAGATCCCTCAACAGGTATCTCACAAGTATGTCCCTTCAATTGTGCCACCATAATGTATTAAACGTTTCTTAACTTCATTACAGATACTTAACATAGTAATCTTTCTGCTTGCTATATCAACTACACAAATTGTAGTTAAAGGAAAGTAGGCGATTAGATCTTCCCAGAACTTATTGTTTAATTTGGGTTTTAGAATTCAGTCTTATACAGGACGATCTATTTAGATGATATTTATGTCTCTTATGATAAAACACGATAAGATGATTGTTGGTTATATTCAGAAAAACGATAGATATATGCAGCATGTTTTGTAAACATATATTAATGTTTCATGTTCAGTAAGTTTACTAATTCGATTCGCTTCTTAATGGATCAGCCTATAGGTGACTGTACCCAGATTGCTTATTTTCTTCTGAAAGTCGTTACACAGTTTAATAGAAACCCTTACAAAAATGTGTCATTTATTGAGAATATTCCCACCCTTGAGATGACATTTTTTGTGCATGTGGATGTGTCTTTCATATCAAAAGTCGTCACAGTCCGTTACGTCAATATTGTCCGTCTGAAACACGTCTGAGGATACGTCACACTTCGTTCAAGCAACCACAATGAGATGTCCGGTAAAGTGGCCTGGTTCTCATCATGTCGCCGAGCGGTCTGAGACATGAACTGTTTTGCGCCCACTCAAATACTGTAGTCGTGGGTATCTGCGTTCATTCTGTGTTTGTGTTGTCCTGTGTAAGTAGCGTTCTTACGGGTTCTGATACCCTGTCAAAGGAGTCCTACTGACTCTCTATAAGATAAACCCTTTAAAGCCTAGTGGTTAATATATGTACCACCTGTTATAACTTAGTCTCCATTCTGCCCACACAGTGTATCTGTGTGTTCCGTATGGTTCTCACAGTAAACAGAGTCTGTTTCTCAAAACAGCCTTAACCGGTTGGGCTTTGTAGCGGAAACATGTGTTTCTTATGAGGTATGGACTGAATTCTTATATATGATTTGGAACTGTGTTCTGTATGGTTCTCACAATAAACAGCTACTGTTTCCCCAAACAGCATTAACCTATTGGACTTTGTAGCGGAGATGCAATGTATTTCCTGTGTGGTATAATCTGAATTTATGTGTATTTAAAAAAATTAAGTAATTANATACACTGTGCTGAGTCTATAATTGGCCTTACGGCTGTTGGCTCAGCACATAAATAATAAAGAATTGAATTGAATTGAATTGAATTATTATTATCATCATATATTTAAAATATCGTCTAGTGACTTTGTAATCATGACGTAACGCTCCATGTCAGCATCTGGTGAAGACGACCATTCGGATGTTCCTAACAAATTTTAATGCATTTCATGTGAAGTGATAATTATGACCGACGTCTTATCCAGGTAACCCCCGGAAACAGCGCCGAGAGAGAACCACGTTCACGCGGGCGCAGCTGGACATCCTCGAGGCCCTGTTCGCAAAGACGNCTGTCAAAGGAGTCCTACTGACTCTCTATAAGATAAACCCTTTAAAGCCTAGTGGTTAATATATGTACCACCTGTTATAACTTAGTCTCCATTCTGCCCACACAGTGTATCTGTGTGTTCCGTATGGTTCTCACAGTAAACAGAGTCTGTTTCTCAAAACAGCCTTAACCGGTTGGGCTTTGTAGCGGAAACATGTGTTTCTTATGAGGTATGGACTGAATTCTTATATATGATTTGGAACTGTGTTCTGTATGGTTCTCACAATAAACAGCTACTGTTTCCCCAAACAGCATTAACCTATTGGACTTTGTAGCGGAGATGCAATGTATTTCCTGTGTGGTATAANGCTCCATGTCAGCATCTGGTGAAGACGACCATTCGGATGTTCCTAACAGAGTTTAATGCATTTCATGTGAAGTGATAATTATGACCGACGTCTTATCCAGGTAACCCCCGGAAACAGCGCCGAGAGAGAACCACGTTCACGCGGGCGCAGCTGGACATCCTCGAGGCCCTGTTCGCAAAGACGCGCTACCCAGACATCTTCATGAGGGAGGAAGTGGCCCTCAAAATTAACCTTCCGGAGTCCAGGGTTCAGGTAAGCCTCTCAAGGGACAAGATCACTGACTTCTGATGTAACGTTAATAAATCGGAGTTCTTCTCTCGGGGGTAATGCAGCCTGAGCTTGAAACCGAATCCAAAACTACATGTAGATTACCTGTAGAGAGCCTGACTGTCTATTGGTACATCATGCGTACATTTGTGTTGTTGCATTTGATGTGATGTCCCAACGCGAGGAAAGGCGTGTAGGCCCATAGAAGTTCACCGAAATTTAGGAAAATTCTGACTCCATCTTCCTTATATTACTGTCAGTATTAGAGTTATAGTTTTTAGATTCTGAGTTCGATCCGCAACGTCACTATTACACTCAAAAAATAGAAAAAACCGTTAAATTCTCTCAGCATAATAACAAGAAACGAACTGAAGACGATAGTGGAAGCAACTTCGAAACGTCGCGTCTGTCATATATACTTGACACAGTTTACCGTGTCCTAGAAAATATTACATAACCGACACTAATGATATGAACGGAAGGCGTGATAGCTCAGTCAATGTAGTGACTAAGTTACTGAAGTTAAAAACTGTGTTCGCTTGTTGGTAGAGTCAAGGATTTTTCTCTTTTCTTCAGCTTCCAGAGAAGCTCTGAAACCTATCCAGCCTGACAGAAAATGGGTAAGGGAAGGGACTTTTCCCTGGGGTAAAGGTGTCGGGGTGTGAAGCTGATATCTCATAACCATCAAGTACCGAGTTTAAAATGGATGTATACCTCCATATCGCCATACGTCTTCTTAGGGCGGTGTTTAATTAAGCACAGGGACAACTGTATCTTTTGCCTTAATGCTGTAAATGTCGAACACCTATAAGAAAAACACATCCAATTTCTGACTCCCCCCCATTCATCTAACCTTCCAGCCGCTTGTAATGTTATTTGCCCTGACCGTTTTTCGGGTAGCGCTACTGTCAGTGACACTAATAGAAAAATAAAGTCATTTATCACTTGATATTCATTGTCAACACGCCTTGCGGAGGTCACGTACGTGTTTCTGGGGGTGTCGGCCTCGTTACTGCGATATGTATGCAGACTCGTGTGCCGGGGGGACAGTTCCAACATTCGCGATAGGGGAACGCAGCGACCAGACGCTCTTCAGCGTAACATGATACAGGGTGATTCATTCGGAAGGGATCACGAATTATTAATTATAAATGACGCGATTATGTACCGATGGAAACGCAACTCGGTGAACCCATGCCTCGGTAGATGAGCGGGTGGCTGCTGGGTCATAGAAGATGCAGAAATTCATTTGCTCTTCGCATGTAGACACGTGTTCACAAATGTTGCAGAAGCGTGGCGGAAGGGATCACGAACTTAAAGAAATGGCGTGAACTGGAGGGGCAGTGCTTCGAACTACACCTTGATAACCTTTTCCCTTTTCATCAGCACATGATTGCACCACATATAATTAGACCTACCAATTCTGGTCCTCCTCCCGTGAGTGAATCGACCAGGACATGACTTCATTTAATACTGCAATTACTAATTTCCTGAATTTTCATTATTTCGAGGTAGATAAATAGGAATTCCCTGTAGAATTTCTTTCCGTGTATATATATATGATATTAATTAAAATTTTATTAATTGTTTTAGACACGACAGGGACATCCGGTAGCGTAGTTGTTTAACGCATCATGCTACAAATCGGAAGGTCGCGAGTTAGATTCCCTATGAAGCCATTGGAATTTTCAATTGACCTTATCCTTCCAGCCACACTATAGCCCTGGGTTTGACTCAGCCTCTAACAGAAATGAGTACCAAAAATCTTCCTGGGGGGGTAAAGGGCGGTCTGCCCGTGAGGCTGACAACCTCACCGCCATCTGTGAGCCGATTTTCTAGAAAATGTGGGAGCCTAGACGTCTCTGAACCCTATGGGCCTCCACGGCCTGTCACAGAGACAGCGTAGTTTAGCTTTGGGCGCGGAAGGGGGGGGGGCGGAAAGCCCACTACCCCCTACTCGCTGCATATTTGATAATATCGAGATGGAAAAGAGAACGGAACGTACCAAAGATTAATGCAAACAATTGACGATCTTTTTGTTTCTTGCACACGAAAGTTAAATGAGAATTGTTGTGATTGGCCGGGGGGAGGGATCGATCTGGATATTTTGACGGATTTACACGTTTTCGGATTACGAAAGCATCGATTTCAGAAGACCGGCTGTGGGCCTACATCTCGCTGTTGGACGTATGTTCCACATTCAAGAGTTTATCCGTCATAGGCCGATGCTCGAAAACAGTTTTTATTATAAGCCAATCATTTGCCGCGACCTTCTGCGGTGGCCGCGCAGTCTAAGGCATGAAATATCTTCGCACTCTCAAATACTGGGGTCTTGGGTTCGAATCCCGCTCGAGGTATGGATATTTGTCTGTGTTTCTGTTTTCTTGTGTTGGTAGCGGCCTTGCGATAGGCTGATCCCCCGCCCAAGGAATCCTACCGACAGCCTCAAATAGAAAAAAACTACATGAAACAAAGTGTTTCACAGTCGCCCTATGCAAAAGCAAGGAGACTATGTTCAGGAAAGTGCCCCCATGTCCCCTGTAACAGAATGTACGTGCATGTTATTTTCCTATCCTTAATGCTCTCACGTGATGGGGCGACTGTTGATAGGGTCTGGATTGGTAATGGTATTCATTGAACACTTATTGCAATTAACTATAGCTCTAACGCTAATTCACACTCTCTGAAGTTCACTACAGCACGTACTAAACCTTCTCTGTCTGTTGTGTCTTCACCACTCGTTGTCTGGTAACGGCTTCCAACACCATATATCCCTCAATTTCCGTGTTCGCGCTCTTACTGGCCGACGACTGCCTCACAGCTAACTAAATTCTAGACTTGCCCTGCTTATAAACACGGACCGCATAGAAAACACCTCTTCCAACAGTTAGAAGAAGAAGAAGAAGAAGTTGGGTTGGTAGTGAGAGACACTACATTGGCGGGGGGTAAGAAACTATATCTCCGATTTTGAAGGTTCCCAGGCAGTGCCCGCTTGTCCTTCTGGTAAAGATAGAGCATATGATCGGATTTTTTGTTTGTTTGTTTGTTTTTGCTAACGTTGGGAGGGCTATATTAAGGCGAAATTTTGATGTTAACAATGGGAGGGCTGCATGTGAGGCATGCAGTGCAACGTGGAATTTGTGTACCAACTCAGCATTTGCTCTAGTACCGAGGAAAACCACGGAAAACCTTGGTCGAGCTGGCCGGTCTCAGGACCTTCCGGATGCAAACTGACTTCTAGCCAGCAGTCCGGCTTAAATACGCGAACCCTAACATTAGACCCTGTCTGTCCTGTTGCTTTGTTTTAAAAGTTTACGTGTGTTTCTACAGTTTTTTTTTCTGCTGCATAATTTGGATGAGCGGCAAACATTTGTGTATCATATTTTCAAAGGGTTTTAACTGTTTAAGTATTGATAAATTTAGATCTATATTGTGGAAGGGCAAAGGTTTGTTGCTCATCCAATGACAGGATTTTATGATTACAATTCTTTTTTTTTATCACATCTTCTTTCCTTGTCCAGTGTAGGTGATGGTCGGTCGATGTGGCCGCGGGCGTACGGGCGTTTGGGGAGTTTCATCATCCAGTTACCTGTAAAGAGATCTTAGAGCTGATTATCTTGCAAGCAGGGATAAGGGACGCAGATGTTTATCACTGGTGGGATCGTAGTGTCCTAGTACCTGAATCTGACTGTTTTCGCTGGTTACCAACTTCTGGTACAATGTCCTCGTTAACCTCTTAAAATGACTTTTAATTTATGACATTCTCGTCTGTTCGCGTAAGGTTGCAATTGGTGTTACCCTCGGTAATTTTGTTATTATCCTGAGGACTTTATTTTGAAATGTCTGTAGTTTATTTATTTAAGTGTTGGCAGCATAGTCCCATCCGGGGGAGGCATATGACAATATGGAGCGAAGGAGTGATTTATAAATTACCAAAGCTAAATTAATGTCAATTGTGGAGGATTTATTTAGTATAGGGTACAGTTGTCTCAGTCTGTAATTATCATTGCGCAAAATACAGGATATGTGGGTATGGTAGGTTAATTTTGTGTCAAGTGTAACACCAAGATACTTTGTTTCCTTAGTCCAAGATATGGTTTCGTTAAAAATCTTTACTTAATGCGTACTGCAGCGATAATGTCGCAGTCGTTTAGAAAAGAGTGTAATTGTGCACTTTTTTTGTATCAATCTGTATTCTTCATTTCCGGAACCACGGTTCCAAAAGTTCCATGGCAGAGTTTAACTTCCTGACTGCTATATCTATGCTGCCTGACCGAATAATAATATTCGTGTCATCAGCATAGACCAATATGGCTATGTTAGAGTCATTTTCAATTGAAGGAATGTCATTAATATAAATATTGAAGAGCGTGGGTCCAAGTAAGCTACCCTGAGGCACTCCGGCCTGAATGGGGCGTAGGTTTGAATAAGAGTTTTTGTGCATTACAAAAAAGAATCGATTCTGGGGGTAGTTATGTGTTAAATGAATGAAGTGAAGTGGAATTTTGGCCGCAATGAGTTTAGCAATCAACCCGGTGTTCCAGACCTTGTCGAATGCTAGTTCAATATCCAGGAATAAGGTTACTGTAGCTTTGTTATTGTTGAAACCGTGCGTAATGCGCTCCACATTCCTCAACAACGCATGTGTTGTGGAGTGATCTCTTTTAAAATCGTATTGGTCATTTCTGATAGCTTGCAGCTTCCTAAGTTCGAAGTTTAGTCTTTTTAGAATGATTTTCTCAAAACGTTTACCTAAATAATTTAGAAGGCATATTACTCTATATACGGTAGATATACTGATTATGCAAGTGTACATGCCAACATCAGAGTATGAAGATGATGAAGTGGAAAAAGTGTATGACACAATTGAAGAAATTCTTCAGGAAGATGGAAGAGGAGACACAAACAGCATCATATTGGGAGACTGGAATAGCATTGTTGGAGATGAACCATATCAGAATATTGTTGGATCACATGGACTAGGA